AGAAGGTTAGCAAAAGTAACATTTCTTTAATTTTATCATAAGGTAAGCATCCCTAAAAGCTTAGAATACTTGTTTAACATGATTAACATATAATTTAAAAGGTCTTTTTATATAGATGATTACATCATTGAGATAAACTGACACAAATAATCTAAGAAAATCTTTAAGAACCTAATTCATGAGCCTTTGAAATATTTCCAGTACATTATTTAAACTAAAAGACATAACTAAGAATTTGTATAATCTATTTACTGTGATAAAAGTAGTTTTCTCAATATCATCAGGATGCATTGCTACTTGCCAATAATCACTAGCTACGTTGAGAGTAGTGAATCAATTTGCTCCACTTAGTAAATTCAATAGGTCATCAATTCTTGACAATAAGTATGTATCAATTTTTGTGATAGTAATGACTTTTTGATAATTGACACATAATCTTTTTTCTCCTCCTTTCTTTCCTACAATTATGACAGGTGAGACCAATAGACTATAGAAAAATTGAATTATATCATTATATTTCATTTTCTTTAGCTCTTGATTCAGAAATTTAGTATTCTCAGGGTTTATTTAATATAGTTTTTATGCAATTGGTATAGCTATTTTAGTATAGATATGATGTTTAATTTCTGTTATTCATTCTATCTCTATTTGACTTCTAGCATAAATATCATAATATTCTCCTAAAAGATTCATAAAGGCCTGCTGTTGATGGTAGTCCAAAGATCCTAGTTGCTTCAAATAAGTTGAATTAGTTTTAACAGTGTATCCAGCAATTTCAGCAATATAGGCAGTTAGGTTGTCTTCTAATTGTTCATTTAATTTTTCATTATCATCAATATCCTCTTCAGATTGAATAGGAGAATAGTGGATAGACCATGAGTTAAATCCTAATTCATCATCCAATTCTGATTCTTTTGAATCAATATTATCAGATAGGTAAATGAGATATTCTTTTAGACATTCATCTTTATATTCTTTACTTTCATATTCATCCTCACTTTCTTGAGTTATAACTTTAGCTGTTTTAATAAAGGCAATAGGAATTTTTATGGTAATTCCATATTGTTTAATGGTAAGAATGGATTGTTCTCACTCATAATAACATTAGTTATTCTGAGTCAATCATTTCCAAATATAAGGATTTCATCTCTGGATTTGAATACTTGAAAAAATATGGGTACCTGAATTTTTCTAATATTCATTGGCACTAAAGATGACACTGCAACTAGTTGCAATCATGTGATACTTATTTGTCACCGGTTGCAACTAGTTGCAACTTAATTTTTATTAATATTGCAACTAGTTGCAACCCTGTGATGCTTATTTGTCACCAATTGCAACCAGTTGCAACGCCATCTTTAACTGGCACGTTGTCAATGATTCTGAGAGAACGAGTTCTCGTAATATTTGCTATTATTACTATCATTTTTGAGGGTTAACACATTTTATATCCCAATTTTTCTACTAAGACTTTGGTTATGATACTAGTAGCAGCTTCACTATTGATAATTGCAGTTTGAGCTTTTTGTTTAATCCTCAAGATATATTTTGCAGTAAAGGTTAGTTCATCATCATTCTACTAGATTAGCTTCCTTAGTTTTGTTGGTAGCTCTTTTCCCTTGAACGTCTGACAGCTTGAGTTAAACCAAAATGATATTTAGGAATAGCATGTACAGCTTATCCCACTGATAGTTCATATGGTAAATTTTGCAAATAGGTAGAGATATTAAATTCAGTTAGTTATTTAATAGGAGTAGATAACAACTTTCTTTTAAGGGCTTTTAACACTTTTTCAGTTCTAACTGGTTAAGTCACAGTTTCTGATATCAGTTCTTCTATGTCTAATTCTTTGATAGTTATTTTAGTTTTAGGTAAATTTTAAAACTTTACTGGTCCTCTTTTATTTTTCGATATAGCATTTCTTGGGTAAGGTCTAAATCTAGTATTCAGGTAGATCTCATATTCGTCTTTTTCATAATATTCTTCTGAAGTATATTTCTTGTTATCATATTCTTCTTCATAATATTAGTCAGCTAGATATACATCTCTTGTATCATTATAACGAGGTCTTTTATTAGTTCTTCTTGGTTACTGTCAAGATTGAAGGCAATTTTAGGCTATGTATCCTTCTCTGTTACAATTGTAACAAGTCATAAGAGACATATTTTGTCTAGGTCTCCTAGTAGCATCATTATAAGTTTGCTCTATTCATTTTATTAGTAGTTGTTGAGATTGAACTAATAAAGCAGTCATAAAATTAGCATAATTAATAGATAGCTGTTCCAATTTCTTAGTGAGTTCATCTATTTTAACATTAGTAACTACGTTTTTAGGAGTAGAAACTATAGTAATACTAATATCCTTAAGAGCTTTTCCAGAGGTGAAATTATATCCAATTTTAATAATTCACGCAGAATTTATAGCAGCGTCTAAATCGGAAGGATTTTGTGAGTAAACTAATGAAATGTAAGCAGAATTTAATTCCATAAGAAATATCTTTTTCTTTTGTGCATCATCTATTAATTCTACATGAATCACTAATTACTTAAATTTATTAGCATAGGAATCTATAGATTTATCTGTTTGTTATCGCAGAAAAGTTAATTTTTAATACCATTAATTTTCTTAGTTTTACTAATAAACGAGCTTTAAATAAATCTACAAAATTTTGATCACTATTTACTTCAGTATTCCAATTGTCTGCCATAGCAGTAGTAACACTATTAAACCAGTCAGCCGCTATACCTTTAAGGTATCCTTCAGCAATAGCCTTCTTCTGTGCTTCAGTTGTTCACCTATTAGTAATTGCAGCTCTTTCAAATGCAGTGAACCATTCTACAGGGTCTTCATTTTCAGCTCCTGAAAAATAGTTAATTTTAATAGTAGATCTTTCTTTTCTTTGAGCTAGTCTGAGTCATTCACTAATATCTGTCAAGTGTTGTCTATTATTTCCAAAATTTTCTTGGAAAGTGACTCTCATTTCAGCTCCTGAGACAGCTATTATTTCAGTTTTAACTGGGTGAATTAGGGGATGAGTTTGACAAGCTAGATGCAAAAGATGTTAAAGAAGCAATAAGCTGTTGTAGTAATTGTCGATCTGCTTTAGGCCTTATTAGATCCTGTTTTAAGATTTTAGTATACACTCTTAAAGAAATAGATAAGGTAATAGGTTGTTGAAAACAATTTGTTCAAAAGGATATGCCTTATACATATAAATATATTATATCTGCTAAAAAAGATCGAACATAATATCTAATGCTAGAAAAAAGCTAATATATAACTCTTATTAGGTGAGAGTTATGATGTTTAGATTCAGGGGTACTACTAAGTTATTCAAATAGGTTAAAGGTAACAATAGTACTTGAGGTAAAAGTGTCTGCTTGATATTCACATTTAAACCAGTTTCAGAAATTCTTAAAGCTATTGGGAAGAATTTTGAGTGGAAGGGGTAGATAATACAAATTACAAGTATAATCTTGGTTAAGAAGTTCGTTTAAGTAATACCTAACTATATGCTCTGATGTAGTTCTCTCAAGTTTCTCAAAATTCATACACCTCACTAGTTCTTCAGCGGTTCATTGTATACATCTTCAATAAAGATTCTCCTGACAGGAATCACCACTTGTTAAGTCTAAACACTACGTTGTTAGGATAACAAAGCTTATTTGCTAATAGGGAGTTTAAGTTGTAAATTATGAAAGAAATAAACATGAATTTATTTAAGTTGAAGGGTCAGATCATCTTTATTGATGATTGATATTTTAAGGAAATAGATATTGGCAAAAATATAGTTTTTATGTTGTTAAGATTATACTTTATTAATTGTATGATAGAAACTTGTTAATTTGTCAAGGCGACAATACAGGATATTTATATAAAATACAATTATAAGAAAGAGATAATAAATATAATAATGAAAATAAATATAATAAATAAAATAATGATAAACGTAATAATAAAGAAATTAGTGAAAATAATAATTACGATTTTCTTAGTAATCATTGGTGGCATTAACTGGCGCAATAAGTAAGCTACGATAGATTTTGTCAATGCAAATGATCATTGATCTTCCTGCAATTGACATTCCTACTGATTTCATTTAATTTATTATGCTCTTAATCTATTACTAACATCTTGACTTACTACATTACTTTTCGCTTCTAAGATGAACATATTGATATGAAAAAAGACTCTGAAACTACTTCGTATACCCAGTGAAAACTTATTTGTTAATAAAGTATTTCATATTAGACTTAATAATAATTTTATAAACCTGGTATTACGTAATTGCTCTGCTCATTAATAATGATGTAAGTGAAAATATATCACAGAGCTTTGATTACGTATTGAAAAAATTTTTGATTAGATAACTCGTAATCACTAATACTTATATTTTCATATTTGGCTAAATATGAGTAACTCATAGCAGTGTATTATGCCACAACAAGATAGATATATATATACTGTATCTTAGACTTAAAACTTTCTCAAACTTTTACCCGTTACGTGTTCTACGTGTTGATCATTTTTTTTCTCTTGACAAGTTTTTACTGTTTTTACCTGCTGTAATGTCTACTTTAGAAATTCCTTTTTTGTTCGAATTGGTAAGGGCTATCTTTTATGTATATTTTTTGGAGTAAAAGAATTATATATATATTAAATTTTGTAGATAAAGCGATCTCTTCTTATTTCGAAAATAAACTAACTTTATGGTCATATGATAGCTTTCTTAAAAAATTGAAGCCATTAATTATGGAAGACAAAGTTGTTAAACTTTCATCAGTTTTGGCGAAAAAGATTTTTGACGGTACTGAAGGAAATAAATATTGCAGATCTTTTAAGTAATCAGGTATCTTTTCTTAGTATATTAAGCACAACACAGGGGTATCGTTTCTCTAGCTTGGAGATATTATTTCTCCTAAAACTATATATGGGATGTCATTTCTCATGCTATTGCACAAACTTAGAAGGGTGTGGTCTTTTGTTTCTTGCAAACAGTCCTATAGGGGTGTCATTCTTCTTTGGACTTCTGAGGGTTGTCCCTTGTTTCTTGCAAACAGTCCTATAGGGGTGTCATTTTTCTTTGGATTCTTGGGAGTATCATTCTTTATTTCTTGCAAACAGTCCTATAGGGTGTCGTTCTTCTTTGAACTCCTAGGGATGTCGTCCTTTGTTTCTTGCAAATACAGTCAGACCTCTCTAAATGCATCTTCTATAAATGCATACTCTCTTTAAATGCACATAATATTTTGGTCTCAAGCTTGTAACTTAAAGGCTAAATGCACCCTTCAAGTTCTACATGTACAAGAAATTTTTCTGTCCTTTGATATGACAATCTGATCTCTAAATGCACGTTACATGACTATTTTATAAAATAATAGGACCGTTGAAAATTTGATGTTTTTTTTATTCATTAATTAGTACACATGCAGCTTTTTTTTCAGCCTTGACTCTTTAGCATCTTCAACCATCACTGGTTAAAATCAAAAAAATCAGACATGCAAAAATCAGTCTAAAATCAGCCTAAATCGGCAAATTATCAAAAATCAGCCTAGCTGATTGGCATACATCAGAAATCGGCCAAGAATCAGCCAAAATTCAACTTATTTTATTTATAGCCGATTGGCATACTTATAGCCGATTGATATATATTAAAATTCAACTTATCTTATTTATAACCGATTGACGTCTGATTGGAACAATTGTATTATTCCTTAGGTACAATAGGTATAATCGTTCCTTAGAAATAAGGGTGTAGACATATCAGTACTATAGGGTTATAACTATTAGAGTTAAAAGAATATGGCAATATGGTACTGCCGGATGCCGTAACAGTGTTACTTGCCGTAACTATCGTCATTTACCATAACTATCGTAATTTGCCGTAACTATTGTCGTAATCATTTGCTATTTGACTGTAATTAACCATAAACCACAGGTAGATTCTATAAAAAGTTAGTATAACAGTAAGCATGTGAATTATATATAAAGATCAATAGAAAAAAAAATATTCA